GGTATTATAGACTTACTTACGAAGATGCTTGTTTATCGAATTTTGGGGGTTCTTGATTAAAAATGTTCAAAATTTTCATGGTACATTCTTAGCTTGACAAGAACAAAGGGATATTTAGAAGGTCCCATTACAGAATCTGAGATCTGGGATGCGCTGAAACAGGTTGGCCTGGACAAGACTCCGGGATTAGATGGTCTTCCTTACGAAATGTACTTGAGGCAGTCGCCCATCTTTGTCCCTTTGCTGGAGTTGAAGATTTTGGCAAAGGTTTTAGCTGGCCGTTTGCAGGCTGTCCTCTCTAGTCTGATTGGTCCCGAGCAGACTTGTACTGTGAAGGGCAGGACTATTCAGGACAACCTTCATTTGGTACGCTTGATCATCGAGCAAGTCGACAGTGATTCAATTTAGATCAATCCAAGACTTTCGATAGGGTTGACCATCGATTTCTGGGGGCTGTTCTTTCGGTTGCCGGTTTCGGGTCGGATTTCGCACTTGGATCCGACTGCTGTATGCGTCCCTCGGTGTGCTGGTAGAAATGAATGGAGTAAGATCGAAGCCTATCATTTTGTCTCGCTCCATTCGTCAAGGTTGCCTGCTGTCTCCATTGCTGTACGTTCTTGCGTTGGATCCTTCCTGCGTAAGTTGAAGACGAATCCGGTCCTTGGCGAAATTTCCTTACCTGGTGCTACCACCTCGGCCAGGTACTCTGCCTATGCTGATGACGTTTCGGTTCTTGTGTTGAGCAGATCCGAAATTAACGTAGTCAGCAAAGCAATCAAAGGCTATGAGATGGTTATAGGCACCAAGATCAACCGCGATGTCTGTTGGCTTGCGGTTGTGTTCGTGGAAGGGAGTTTCTTTTCCCGGACTTTTCCTCTGGACGGACGGGCCGGTCAAGATACTCGGCATCTGTTTCGGTCCCGACCTCCTGTTGAAAATAAATTAGTCGGAGGTGCGGAAGAAATCCGAGGTCGCATTTCGTCTGTGGTCCCCGAGGAATCTTTCCTTAAAAAGGAGGGCGGGAGTATGTGCCTCGCACATCTACCCGGTTCTCCTTTACCGACTCTCTGTGCTTCCACTCCCGTCTGACACTCTATTGGTGTTTGTAAGTTCTCCTTCTTGTGGGGAGGCAGAGCCGCCATGGTTAGTCGCGAGATCTGTTACCTTCATCCTTCTGATGGCGGTCTAGGGGTGCCTTGCGTTGAGACTCGTCGACATACGCTTCACATTACTTATTTAGACCGGACGTGTATGAAATTGGATGAGAACAGTGAATTCTGGAAGGAAGACGTTCGTAGAAACTTTTCCATCCTTAAGCAGTGTTCGCTCGTGTGAGGAAGAGACGGGCGTTCACCTAGAGGCGAGGGCCATTTCTATCACGAATGTCGGCTTGCCCTCAAGCAACTCCTACGGGCGAAGGATGGTCTCTCCGACGATCAGCCGTTGTCTCGTAAGGCATTATATCAGGTGTTAGTTAGGGGGAACGTTCAGCATGCATTGATAGACGAGCTCGGTCCGACGAAGCGGGAGGCTCGCTGCATATGGCCTTGGGCAGAACGGGTATTGGGAGGTAACTCTAAAGGGACAGTCAATCACAGTTACAGATACAAATGATCGAACGTTGTGGAATGTCATGATCGCCAACGTCCCGAAATCTATAAGAATTCAGCATTTACAAGATTGGCAGGCTAAATTTCATAGGGAGACAATATGAATTATCAGAGTTCAAAAGGGTGCCGGAGGAGGGGAATGTCATTTCTGATATCACTCAATCTAAATGTGCACGTATTTTGCAGTAATACACTTCTGGAATCCCTTTTTCTCAATCGTGGACAGCGAAGTGACCGACCAAATAACTAGAGGCTTAGAAATGTCTGTGGCAATAAATTAGCGACACGATCCAGTTATATTCCATGCAAGAGACACCAGACGCATATCCAGCAGGTAAGTTCTGTGTTCTTTAGCTTTCATGGGATATGGGAGCAGAAGATTCACCTGGATACCCCTGTTAGCTCAATGATACCGATCAATGCGTTTTATCTGGGTTCGTCATTTCGCTAATTGAACACTGGATGACTGGCCACATGTGTCGTCGGTCGATGTGTCGTGCTTATAAATCTTTCTTGCTGATTGTAGATTTGGGCTGCAGCGCTGATCCGATGAGGCAATCAACTCCAGTTGTCAGCAACGCATCAATAGGGTGGAAACAGGATACAGTACCAGAATTGACTGATCAGTGGCGTGTCATGATCCGATGAGTTATTGTTTCGTGCTGATTGTAGAATTCGGATGTAATGTTGGCTTTGATGTTCAGCTAGTGTAATGGATTAATTGGAAACAGGAGAGACAAATTTCACTTCCAACCGGGTATGTCATATTCACTTCGCAAATGTATAGACACAGCTCTTCTCCTCCACATATGGGTTAACTAGTAAGACTTGTATAATAAATCATTTCTTACGATCTAAAAATATTTTCTAGCTTGAAATAACCCGAAAAATTTTGATAAGCCGTAAAAAATCAAATTAATCAATCAGATGAGATATGAGATTAGTGAATACTAAATACTTCAAATAACTCAGTTTATGGATCAGTTATAACATATTCAGTATAAGATGTGAGGAAACCGAACATAGGTTGTGCTATGGTTTGTTTTGTCCGACACCGAAAATTGTTACAATATGAAAGTATTAACCTAAAAATACGAGTCATCATCTTAACCTCGTCAGATCAAGACTTCAATATGGAGGCTATACATGGCACCAAAGTCTTCAAAGATAACTAACCGGTCAGCCATATACAAACGCTTTCTCAGATAAATGATAAAAATCAGATCAATGATAAAAATGGCTCCGTGCTAACGATGTCTATACGACTTAGCGAGGACCATACTTCTTTGAAATTCGTGTGCCGGCGCTACAGAATCAAATGAACTCTATCAAATGACAGAAATCTTATCACGTGAGGGCTTTCAGCATAAGAAACAACTAAAATTCATATCACATGTAATTCGTATAGAGAATGTCATAGTCAAGATGCTGACATTTCACACTACAAAAGGTTAGGAAAGACGCTCTTCCCCATCAATAATGGAAAGAGCGATAATCTTTAGAGAACTTGATACCAATTTTCCTGAAAAAAATTTTTAATAGAAAGATTTTAAAATATTCAATCGATAATAGAATTGGCTGTCCGCTCAATGAATGCAGAATATTTTCTCATAAGAAAACAGTGAATATCACTATTACTGTTAGAGTTGAGCAGAACAGATACTACACTTTTGTATTTAATTTCATTCGGTATTTCTTAGTTCTTGCAATATTTTGTCCCCTTTTATATTTGCTTTAGTTTTTCTGAAGAATTTTTATTTCTTCTTCCCCTCATTCGTTATTTCATTCTTACATTCAGTCATTCATTCTTTATTCTTTCGATAATTTCCCCCTTTTGTAATATTGCCTTTCTTTATCTGTAATATCTTCATTCAATATAATTATTTATTAATTCTCATTCATTCATTGTTTATTGCTTTGTTTTCTTTCTTTCTTTCCTTCAATGAATAAATCTTTCCTTTTCTATAATATTATATGACACTTAGTTTACATAATATTTTCATTCTTTATTTTCTTTCCTTCATTTTTTTCGTACTTATTTCATAATTTTATTGATATTTTCTTTCATTAATTCTCTTCTCTCTGATATTTTCTTCATCTCTATATTTCCTATGAAGGCTTCATTATTTTTAATTCATTCATTTATCATTCGTTATTCTTTCATTTTTTTATTAATATTTTTCTCATTCTACAAAATTTTATTTGCTTTTTCTCTAAATTTTTATTTAGTTATTTTTTCTTCGTTTATTAATTCTTTCGTTACTTCTTTCATAAAATATATTTTTTTCTTTTCTGAAATATTATCATTCTTGTTTCTTTTCTATTTGCTTTATTAATTTTATTTGTAATTTTCATTCATCCTTTTTTCTCCCTTACTTTCTTATTCCTTCTTTCTTTCTTTCATTTATTATTTCTTTCAATTTTTATCCATTATTTTGCTATTATTTAACCTTTCTACAGAATGTTTCTTCTGAATACAGTTATTCTTTCTTTATTTCATTCATCATTTTTTCTTTCTTTATTTCATTATTTTTTCTATCTTTCATTTCATTCATTCTTCTGTAAAAATTCAGTTGCATACCACATTCATACGTCTTTTTTTTATTTTAATGCTTTCATGAATTCACAATCTTCCAACATGGCGTTTTCCTTACTTCTTAGCATTTTCACATCTATATTATATATAATGTTATATATTATTCAATTTCTTTCAACTTCACTTCCTTATCCGTTCAGTATTTGCCATTTCGTTTCTTTTTCTTCTACATTTTCCTCTCGTTCTACTGACAGTCATTGCTTCTCTCTCCTCTTCCTGATTTCTTTCTTTCTTTTTCTGTTGCATAAACTACTCAGATATGTAGTGTGGAATTCATGCAATTGCAAACTTCACGAACTTCCATGGATACGCAACGTTACTTAGAAACATTTTCCGGACATTCATTACTTGATGAAAAAAACCTGGGAAATCTAAATTTTTCTTCTGAGATAAATGAATGAGTTTTTGAATTATGTCAGAGTAAAAAGGCAAACTATTTCAGCAGTCCACTGAATTGTTTACAAGTCAAGAATAATGGTTGGAGCCTCCAAGCAATAGAATGGAATAATTCAGCTTTACAAAGTGGAACTGACTCTTCTTATCATACTTGTGACTTAACCACAGCTCATTATTCAAATATTTCTTACTTACTCCTTATATGAATATAATATGTGTATATGTCTGTGTGTGTCTGTGTGTGGGTATGTGTGAGTGCGGCAGCGTGGTTTTAGACCGGCTGGATTTTAGATGTGATTTGAATGTGTGTGTGTGTGTGTATGGTGAGCACGCGCGCACGCACGTAGACAGACACACAGATAGAGAGAGAGATAATAAGATAAAGAAAGAGAGGGAGGTTACGGCCACATCACGTTGAAACACCGGTTCCCGCACGATCACCGAAGTTAAGCAACGTCCAGCAAGGTCAGTATCGAGATGGATGTCCTCTTAAGAATTGCAATGTGCTGTAAACATTGGGTGTGGAGTGGGTGTGATAACTGTTCGCAATTTTTAATCGCAGTGTCGAGTTCCAGTTCAGGTTGGGTTCATTATATTCACTTACGCGCAAACACCATAGGGAAAGGTATGAATCCACCTCTACTCCCCTAAACAAAAGAAACCAAACCAAATAAACAGACACACACGTACGCGCACGCGTGGGTTTCACTGAATGTGACAGCCAAGAAGATTATATATTTTTTAAATTAGTTTAACTTATGTGAAATTACTATGAATCTTATTTAGCACATTTCGGAATTATTGCCATTTCTACACAATACATCTTAGAATATAAATACAGAAATGCGAATATGTTGAAAATAGTTAAGAAATTGTCCGAAAGTTCTTGCGATAATAATTACAACTAAAACTATTTACACATTCTGTGCTCAACAACGAGAGGCGACAATCTTCAGGCCATGGATTTTGTGTGTTGTCACAAATATTTAAATATGCAAGTCAATAGAGTATTGTGGATTAGAAGGTCAAGTATTATCGGTTGATTTTAATTATCCTAATGGTTATTGTGGAGGTGGGAAAGTTCACGATTCAAATTATTCTAAATGCTATTGAGTTTAAATAATTGTGTATTGTGCTTATTTACATATGCTCTGTCCTTGATATGGGGCACGTTTGCCTATAAACAGAGCATACATTAAAACTATATTTTAGCATACACACACGCGCGCACACACACATACACATATATATATATATATTTATATGTATTCGTATGTGCGTGCGTGTGCGTTCGTGAATCCGTGTGAGTGTGTGATGTAATTGTGTTCATAAAATGCATATTGTAATATATACTATAATTTTAGCTTATAATGGCAGCGAAGATGAGAAAAAGACGAGAAAAAGATCAAATAGGGATGACCTGGTTGTTTACAGTGAATATCAGAACTCGTATATCATTATGTAGTGTGGAATTCTGAAATAATAAATAATACTGAAATGTGAAATTGTGTGTGTGTGTGTTTATATACAGCTGAAACACTGAATTATAAATTTATTCCATATTGTGCGTGCATGTGTGTGTGCTTGGTTTGGTTGCTTTTGTTTAGTGACATATCAGCCTCTATAGCTTATTTAATGCCAAAATCTAAATATTGTGTACGCAGTTTTTTTTTTTCAGGAGATAAAATTTTTTAGTGATACATGTATTACAAATGAACCCATAGCTGGGGAATTAGCGGTGGATTCATGCCTTTCCCTTTGGTATTTGCGCATAAGTGAATAAAACAAACCCAATTGGAATTGGAAATCAACACTCCGATAAAAAATTTGGAGCAGTTATCACACCACCCGCACATCTAAGGTTTAAAGCACATGATATTCCCAAGTGGTTATTCATCTCGGTATTGACCTAGCTTGACGTTGCTTAACTTCGGTGATGGTGCGGGAAACGGTTTTTCAACATGATATGACCGTAGTAGCACCTCTCTTTCTTGCTCTTTTTCTCTCTCAAACACACATATACACATATTCTCTTTTTCTCTGTGTGTGTGTCTACACTCGTGTGTGTGTCTACACGTGTGTGTGTGTGTCTACACGTACGTGTGTATGTGTGCGTGCACGCATCTATCACATAGGTATCAAAGAGATGCGGTTTTGGAATTTTTCGTATGCCCATTCGGAAAGTATATAGCACAAAGCCGTATTTAAAGAGAGAGTCCCACGCATCCAATGGATTACGCGCAAAACCTGCTCGGTTTCCCAGGCATTTCCAATTTTCTGACACCACAGGCGCCAGGGATTAACACTAGACCTCCTAATTGGTAAACGTATAATCTAGTGGAAACGGTTCCGTGTAATAAGAACCGAATTAAGAATTCAGCTTTAAGGCTTTCTCCACACGCCCACACGAAAGTAATATTGAACATCTACGAGTTTAAAGTGGATGTTGCACACGTACACGGGGCAAAAAATCTCTCAGTCTCCTCGGCATTTCCCATTTGTGGACGTATCAGGCGCCACGGATTAAACTTAACCGCCTCCCAAAAGAAAAGTATTACATTTTGATGGCGTTTAATTATAAAGTAAAGCCCTGGTTAGTCCAATTACACGATAGCACTGAAAAAGAGTGGCATTTTTTTTTTTTTAATTATTTTTTTAAAATTTGTATTCCGTGAAAATTGTTTGTATAGTTATTCTAGATCTTTATGAGTAATTAGTTTCGGATACTTACAAAAGCTTCATCTTCGGTAAATATTTTCTCTATATATATGTATGTATGTATGTATGTATGTATGTATCTATCTGTCAGGGCCTGTTCACACACACACACACACACACACACACACACACACACACACACACACACACACACACACACACACATATATATATATATAT